CGTTAGGCTGTTTTTGCAAACTGCTATCGCAGTACTTTGTTGTCTGCTGTTTTTAAATGGAGAGAGAGAGCAAGAGGACTCAGTCACTGCTTTGGCCTTGGAGGACAAGCCCAGAATGCTGGGGATGTCTCAAAGACCTTGATTTGTCTGGTTCATTTTTTCTTTTCAGTCAATACGAGCAAAACCTTGAAAGTGACAAACCAGCTGGGGGGCTGAATGATTCACACTGCAGTTGTTTAAATCTTACCTCTGTTCGAGCTGGAATTACTCAATGCTCACACATGATCACACGTTCAGCAGTCATTGAAATCAGTGGTGTAAGAATGTTGTTGTGTGTTGGTGCTGTGATATATGTTGAAGTTAGCTATTCAAATGTAATGGGAATGATTGAAGGCCCCTCATAAGCTGACATAGATGCGGCACTTGGGAAATTTGTCATTTTCTTTTGCTGTCATGGTGAAGCATTTTAGATGATGTATTAATTCGCTCTCCTCCAGGACAGCATAGTAATCTGTTTACACAAAGGGACTACGTTAAAATGACAGCTAATTATGACTTTAGTTTGCTTGAAATAATAAAAAAAAACAGCTGTCCTGGAAACGGCTGCCCCGTTTCCAGCATTCTTCATCTAGTTGGTGTGCGCGGGGTGCGGGCCTCTGGGGAGTGCGGGGCATCTCCAGCCCGGTGGAGGGGAATGAAAGCCCAGCATGAGGGCAGTGTGTGAAGGGAGGCGGAACTGCACTGTCCTGCTCCTCTGCGGCGCCGGCGGAAGTTTGGGTCAAGCTCATACAGGCCTCCGCGGCCCATCACCATGGGAACGACACAACGAGGGGCAGCGGACTGTTAGGCTTTTCACCAAAACCTCTGAAGCCGATCCCTTCTTTTTACTTTTTTTTTCTCCTTTGGAAAGGGTGCATGGGATTTGGACGCATCGTGGGCATAAATAGATGGCTGAGCTCCATTGGGTTGCCCACATGGTGTTAAATTGGTTGGTATTAGGTGCAGAGGGTTGTCCATGTGCCTTGTGTGAATTGGTGGGGAAGACGGTGCAAGAAATCCACAGAAGCCATTCATACACTTCCAGCAGAGGATTTGGAAAGGTTGAAAACCAATGGGACATTGGTTTAAAAGGTGTTGTGTAGAGCAATGCTATACCAGCTTGTTTGTCACCTTCTTAAATCAGTTGAGTTTTCCAGGCAGCCCTCCGAGCAGCTGTGTTGGAGAAGTGCTAGGTCAGAGGCTGACAGTTTTGCCATGTGTTCATGCATCAGAACTCAGGAACCGATTCAGATAAGGACCTCTCCACATTTCTGCGATGGAATGCAACAATGGAAATGATTAGATTTATTTGTCATATGCTCTTGTCCAGAGTAACTTGGAAGGCCACCTCGGCAGAACGCTGGAGCAACAACAGCATAGTTACTCAACCTATCCAGTAACACAGGGGATTGAGTACCACATTAATTATAATTGAATTTGCCATGACTAAACATTCTCTCAATGTCCTTTAGTCATTGAAATCATAGGAGTATCCATGTTTTGAGAATCTCCCTGTAACCGAATCCATTAAATTTATGCTAATGTTGTTAGCAAGTATTATTACTTTTTAAACCTTGTAAATTAGCCTAAATATTATCCTAAATATCAAGCCAGCCAAAGTGCTGGAGGGGTCCTCCGGACAGAGGAGGAGTGGGTGTGAGTTAGTTGCATAATTTCCACAGCGGAGAGAGTGCTCTCCGTTGACAGCCAGAGCAACAGCAGAATAATAGCCTTAATTACCGTTTGATCTTGGCGATATGCGCGCGTTGGCTCGTCCCGGTGCGTTCACATGTTTGTCCCCAGTCACGGTTCAGCGCGCTTACTATAGTAACCAACCCACAAGTGTCATCGACTGCGTTCGACACAATGGCAGCGGTTGTTCTCCGCGAACAGCTCCGCGAGGAGCTGTGTGCCTTTATAATGAGTCCCAGGCTGTTCTGTGCTTCTGTGTTTCAGTGGGTTCCACCTTTCAGGTTCAAAAGAAGTTTTTATTCCACCCACACAAAATTAAAATCCTGTCTGACATGTCGCAGAAGTCTTTATAGCTTCTACAATTGAACTGGAAAGAAAATGGCCTCACAATACCTCTCCTCTGCATTTATTTTTCCAAGCTGTGTGTGTGTGTGTGTGTGTGTGTGTGTGTGTGTGTGTGTGTGTGCACTTACACTGATCCAGATCAACCCTCTCTCACTCTTTCCCACACATACACTGGGTTTAGTGCTGTCCTCCTACACCCTGCCTTTTCCCTGTATATCTGGCAGAGCAGATTATTGGTGCATATGGTCTACACTGAAATCCACGCTGTAGAACTTCGTAAGGGACATCAAAGTTCTGTAGGAGCCCTCCTAGAAGGAGCCTTTTACTAGATGTCACTTCACACGTCTTCAGTGACAGGCCATGCATTCTCCTCTGGCTCCTTTGTCCCGCCACACTGTCCCAAATCCAGCGGTGTCACACTGTCTGGGGACAGTGGGACAGTGGAAGCCTTGGGGTCAGGGCTTACGGGCTTTCCTGGCCAGGCGCAACAGGGCGGGGCTGGAGACGTGCAGCGGAGTGCAACACAGCACAGGCTGTTCGCAAAGCGCCCTGAGCTGCTTCCGGCGGAGGAGGAGAATGTGCCGGCCGCGCCAGGGCGAGGATTAGCAGTCCCTGACGCTGTGGCTCACTGACTGGCCAATCCCGGCCGCTCGTGATGAGTGTGACTCTTAGGAGTAGGATTCTAATCAGGGCACGTTTTGCTCTCTCTCTCTCTCTCTCTCTCTCTCTCTCTCTCTCTCTCTCTCTCTCTCTCTCTCACCTTCTGTCTTTGACTAGTACTCTAACTCTGCCACTTACTGCCTCTCTCTTTGTAGCTCGCTTTCTTAATAAAAATTTAAATGTGTTGGAATCGCAACAAAAATACATTATTTCCAAAAGCAGTGTAAAAGTAATATTAATAAAAAACAATAGAAGCTCTGAGGAGTATGATTCTAATCAGGCATGTTCTCTCTCTCTCTCTCTCTCTCTCTCTCTCTCTCCCTCCTCTCCCTCCCTCTTTATTGCCTTCTCTTTTCGACTCCTACACTAACTCTAGTCTTTTCTAACTTGCTTTCTTTAATTCAAATTCAAATGTGTTTTATTGGCATGACCCACAAAAATGCATTATGTCCAAAAGCAATGGCCTCAAAATAAATATTAAAAATGGCTCGCTCTGTAAGCTCTGTTGTGGCTCACTCTGTACCCTCTGTCCTGCAGACTGGAAGGCAGACACAAACCAGGCCACTGTGCCTGCAGTCTGCTGCTCTCCCAGTAGGGCTGTGATTTTTATGCCAGTCTTGGAGGACTTTCAATTGAGCTATTATGTTGAATTTTTTTCATGTATTTTTTTTTCTTTATTTTCTCATATTTTGGGCTGGAAACCAGGAAGTGCGTGTCGGACCCCTGCAGCTCGCAGTGACTGTATTGATAATAAGCAGTGATTACTCAGTAATTGCAGTCTCTGTGTTTGGTCTCTGTTTGTTTTCCAGGCCTTTAAGGACGAGCTGGAGGGCCTCATCCAGGAGCAGATGAATAAGGGAAATAACCCCACCGGGCTGCTGGCCCTGCGGCAGATCGCAGACTTCTTCATGACCAGCACCGTGGCCGGCTTCTCCACCTCCCCCCTCAGTGAGTGAGCACCTGTCGCCTTTCACTGCCCTATCGGTGGATTTAACATATTTCCGTCTGCTGGATGTTAAAGCTCCAGAGAAGTCGAAACCATTAAAGTCAGCCCCAGAAGTCGAAATCATTAAATCTAGTTCTAAAAGCTACCTGGTCAGAATGTCAAAATGGAAGTCAAAATGGTTAAAGCCAACTCCAAAGAAGTCAAAACCACTACATCTAGTGCGAAACCGTTAAATTAAGTTGTATAGAGAAGATAAACCCATTAAAGCCACTTCTGCAGAGAAGATGAACCTTTAAAAGCCAACTCTGCAGAGAATATGAATCCCTTAAAGCAAGTTGTGTAGAGAAGGCAAGTATGTTGAAGCTATCTCTGCAGAGAGGTCTTGCATGCTTCACTCCTTCGTTCCATTTTGGCCTGTGTTCTTGCCTGGTTTTCCACATGCGGAATCTGTTCAAAATCATGACATTGGCATGCGGAACTAATGTGGAGTCGCTGGAGTGTAATACAGTGGCCCTGTATGGCTTCCCTGGTATTCAGAGGGAATGTGTTCCTCATCTCAACATCAGATGCAAAACATTAGAATTATGGAAGTGTGGCAAAGGATGGATCATAAGGTTACAAGGCCTAGTTAAAACTCGAGACAAACGTTGAGCTGTGTGGTCCTTGCAGTTGTTTACATCATACCACAATTCTAGAGTCTTGAAAGCAAGTAATAACAACATGAAGAAAACCAACATTATACTTGATTTACATTACATTAATTACATTCATTTAGCAGACGTTCTTATCCAGAGCGACTTTCAGCACAATAGAACATAAGTGTGTCCATTCAAGTTAAGAGTGTCAGACCAGGCTAATAACACTTCCAGACAAGTGAGAATGAGCATAACACCATTCAAACCCTACAAGTCAGCTTTCAGCACTTTCAAAGTTTTAAAATCTAAAAAAATACCTTCAGTAACAAGTCCCCACAAACTGGATTGCATTCAAAGAAGTGTAGTTTCCTTGAGGGTAGAGGTGTCATTATGTTAACTGACAGCCCCCAGGTTAGAAACATGACTCATTATATCAAAGAAAGACAAATTATTTTTTCTCCCTTTCCCAAGGCCTGGGGATGGTCACCCCCATCAACGACATGTACGGAACAGAGTCCTCCACTCTGGTGAAGGGGGAGAAGCAGACCCGCTGCAAACTGGCCAGCCTGTACAGACTGGTGGACCTGTTCAGCTGGGCCCACCTCGCCAGCTCCTACATCACAGTAAGCGCGGCTCTCTCATCACTCTTCTCCCCAGTTCTGAATGCATCTCGGCACTGGGTCAGCAGTGTAGCATAATGGTAAGGAGCAGGGCTTGTAACCGAGAGGTTGCTGGTTCGATTCCCTGCTAGGGTGCTGCTGCTGTATCCTTGGGCAGGGTACTTAACCCAGAATTGCCTTGGTAAATATCCAGTTGTAAAAATGGATAACATGTAAAAATTGTAACCTATGTAAGTTGCACTAGATAAGAGCTTCTGCTAAATGACAGTATTGTAGTGTAGTGTGTAGTGTAATCTCCAACACTCTGGGCTGTGAGCTATCAGTGGTGTGATTGACAGGGGAAGGCCCAGAAGGTCTTAGTGACATTCTACCTGTGTTTTTGGAATCAGATAACCTGCAGCACACTCAGTGTCTGCCAAAAAAGGGAGGAAAAAGCATCCATATTTATTCTCCTACAAGTACTGTCATGCTTAGTAACACAATGTGTAGAACAGCTCCTTCCTGCCCATGAAACGCAATGCTTGCTTTGATGTTGATGGAGACAAAGTGCCTCATTTGCTGGAATGTAATAACATTTGCGTTTGTAAAGCCTCTCTTTATTTTTGCCCCCCCTCCCCCAGGTTCGGGTCAGCAAAGAGCAAGACCACATTCTCATTATTCCCAGAGGCCTGAGTTTCGCCGAGGCCACGGCGGCGAATTTGGTGAGTTGCAATCACAGTGTTCTGAGGAGTTGTTTCCACGTAAGTTTATCGCGCGCCAGAAAACCCGGGCCCGTGCCAGGTGCGGGCATAGTTTTTTTTGGCAGCGCTTCACAGCTGTTCGAGAGAGAGAAAGAGAGAGGCCCCAGCCAAACGGTGCCAATGTTTGAGTCATAGTTAATCAGCAATTTATTTCGTTAAATTATACAAAGGCAGTATTAGATTAACTGAAATCCAAGCTTTTGGCTAACACGGTCACTGAGAGGCCCCTGTGTAGAATAATCCAGCAAAACTGTAATTAAAGAGCGCGTTCGAGCTTTAATGTATACTTCATCTGTGCTCACATTTCTAAACAGGAATTGACGTGTGTGAAATAAAATGGCCAGGGTCAGATTATGTATGTTTTCATAAGAAAACATAACCTGAATTTCTTCAGGTTAAATTATGTCCACCGAGGGGATAAGTGTAGTAAGGATTTCTACTAAATAAATAACATGACCCTATGTTTTAAACTTTTCCATGCCGTTAGGTTTTGTGTGTGATTTATGGTGGTAAATACAAATGAGCGGTGTCTGTGTCACACGTCGTCGAGCTGTTTGCCTCTCTGGCTTTGCCGTTAGAGTCAGTGACAGCTCAGCTGGGTGGTTGCTAGGCGCCTGTGTTGCTCGGGGTGCTGCGCTGGCCTGTGTTCTGACGCTCTGGTAGGTTTGCGCTCTGCACAGGGCGAGCCTGACACACTGCGCTGGTATGAACAGGCGTGTGCTAAGGGCCTCATCCACGAGGCCAGACCGGGTCAGCAGGAGTGCAGGCACTCGGAACGCCCAGTGATTTGTTGTGGCGTCAGCCAGTGACTTCATTTTCCCGGGTAAATGAAGGTTGTGAGAGGACATTGTTTTCTTGTGGCCATTCCTGGTAGGAGAAAGAGTGCACCAGCATCTTGTCATGAATGCCTCCTTCAATGTATTCTATGTTAGTGAAAAGAGTCCTTTGACTTTTTTTTAGTTTGTGTTATTGCTCTGTGGTGGCATTGATTTGCTCCAGTGATGAAATGTGAAATCTTTTTTTTTCCCTTTTGGGTGGACACCTCTTTAGCCTCGGGAAGTCGTGAAGTTTGTGTCAGGTTAGAGTGAAAGATTCGTGTGGGTGGGGGATGTTTTGGCACCTCTGGGGGGTATTGCATAGTCTGAGGTGAAGGAGAGGGCGCCTGCAGGGTGTTGGCTTGCAGCACGGAGAAAGCACTTCCCTTTATTACAGGACATAAACAAAATAGAAGAGAACTGAACCGGCACTGTTCATGTTCATGTGGGCTGGGCAGACTGGGAGCCTTTTTGTTCTCTGGCTTCTCTAAGTGGTAAAATGGTGATGCTGTGGCTGCAGTTCAGTCTCTCAGAAAGGCAGCGAGGGACAATAATTTCTAGGTTCCTGGAACAGCCAAAACACACTCTTAATAAACTGCTGTGATCTTCCTTGTAGTGGGGTCCCTTTTCATCATTTGAACTGCAAGCGTGACATCATGAATAGGTTACTCTGTATGGATGACCTCATTCCATGGAGCTCTGAAAAAGATACTAGAGGCCCAAGATGGTAAAAAGCGTAATGCACAATTATTTTCATATGTCAGATTGTCACAGTCTTTATTTCCTGCCCCTTCAGGGTCCAAAACAAAGGCAAGAAACCGCTGGATTTAGTTTCACTTTAGCTCGGATTTCACGCCTATCACACAAACACGTTTCATGCGGTACTCACTTCGACAATTAGGACAAGTTGCCGTGATCCTCCAATGTAAATCTTTCCTGGCCCTAGGAAATGACATCATCAGGGTGGTTTGAATTATGCCTATAGTCGTCAATGCCAGCTGTTTCTACAGAGGCACATCCCTAGAACACACAATGACCAGTGCCCACTGCACTAAGTGCTATAGGCAGTCCTCAGCTCACACATTCAGCTTTTGTTGCATGGTGGTGTTGCAGATCAGTTCATTCTCACCCCACAGACCCACAGAGTTCTTAGAGAAGTCCTGTCACAGTCAAGGGGTTAGTTCATCCAAATTACTGTTTGTTTAAGGCTGTTCAGATAAGGCTTCTTGCACAGCTATCCTGGATTGTGCTGGTTCACTCTTCCTTGTTTGTTTTGTTGTTGGGGGTTGGTTAGGAGCATGCTTATTGTGTTTGTTTTGCATCTTTTGATGTAATTCTCTGGCTGAAGTTGGACTTCAGTTGTGCGTTAGATCTAGCAGCTTAGGCCTTAAATTGGAACAAAGAAAGAAGTGCGCTGAACGCAGATGACATAGGGGTGGGGGGCTGGGGGTTGGGGATGGGGGGTCCAGTACAGGATAAACATACAATGTAGCCAGACATTCGATCGCCTCGCATCCCGACAGCTGTGGGTGAAGGGGATGCTGGACAGAATTATCCATGATTCGCTGAAAGGTCAAGGACAGTCTTGCTCTGACAGCGTTTAGTCGAGCCTGCCACATACAGCACGTTATTGATCAGATCATCGTATTCCTGTTGTTTTGGCTGTAGTCTGGTTAGTAATTGTGCTCATACTTTGTTTAAGCAAACAAAACAAACAAATTTGCACCTGAGTAGGGTTTCCTCAGTTAGTCAATAGATGGACTGACTCCTGATTTCAGCTGACAGTTTTTTTCAAAGCTGCCATGTATTTGGAAGGTCTTTTATTTAGGAAGGTTTACCATTTGAGATTTGTTTTATTTTTATGGTATATTCTCAGATTGAGCCATGCACTGAACCTCACTGTATGAGCAGCAACCAGTGATCTAATAATGTATCGGCAATTAATTCATCATGCATGAAGTTTATTTATTTAATCTGGTTTCTTTGGCAATAACATGAGGTTAAATTTCCTTTGACAGCATAGTAACGCAATTCCGAAGGGGGGTGTTAAAAATCTGATTCACTGATAATGTGATTACCTCACCAACCGGTTCAGAAATAAATACTGTAATTTCCTCCATCTGAACATAACCACAGGTGGATGCCGGTGTAACAGTAAAGGTTAGCGTCATTTCTGCTTGGTTTGATTAAACAGCAGTGCACCTGTTAGCGTGTAGTGGGTAGCGTGTTAACCCTGTGTGTGTGTGCATGTGTGTGTGTGTCACACTGATTAAAAAAGTAGCCTGTGCTCTGTTCTGTCCCAGAAGCGGTTTACTGTCAGTAAAAGATGGCTTTCGCTGGGTCAGTAAGGTCTGGGTGATCCATGTAAAGCACTCTCTTTTCTACAAGAAAACAGAGTACAGGCCTTACTACTTTATTGTACTGTTGACCCTCTGCCTAACATCTAACAAAGATGTGTCTTCTCGTCCTACAGGTAAAAGTGAACATCATTGGGGAGGTGGTGGACCAGGGCTCCACCAACCTACAGATCGACCACTCGGGGTTCAGTCCCCACGCCGCCATTTACTCCATGCGCCCCGACGTCCGGTGCATCATTCACATCCACACGCCCGCCACCGCCGCCGTGAGTGACCCCGCCCCCGCAGCGCTGACCACACCCACTCACTACACCCGCTCACTACACCCTCACCAAAGAGGACCTTTAACAAAGAAAATAGTTTAATCTAAAGGTTTTTAAAAGCGTGTGATTGTGTGCTGGAGCCCATACACACACACACACACACACACACACACACACACACACACACGTATATACATGTATATTTATAGTTTTTGTAATTCACCAGCCACTGTGTTTGGCTTTGTTCACGCTTTTAATAATTCAAGTTGAATGAGCAATAGTATCAGACCAGGCTAACACTCCCAGACCAGTGAGCGAGAGCATAATGCAAATCCACAAAGCCTGTCCCTGAAGCTGTTGTGCACAAATCCCGCAGGTGTCATCAATGAAATGTGGAATCCTCCCCATCTCCCAAGAGGCCCTCATCCTGGGCGATGTTGCCTACTACAATTACCAAGGAAGCCTGGATGAGCAGGAGGAGAGGATCGAGCTCCAGAAGGCCCTGGGCCCGTCCGCCAAGGTACTGCTTCCCCCCTTGGATCAATTCGGGATGTCACCCTTTCAATCGCTCCGTTCTCACTTCTAATGGCGGTGCACACACCTGTCTTCCAGGTACTGGTGCTGAGGAACCACGGTGTGGTTGCCCTGGGAGAAACCATAGAAGAGGCCTTTCATTACATCTACAATGCCCAGTACGCTTGCGAAATCCAGGTAAGGCACCTGCGTTTGCCTGCGCTCCAGCAACCTTGGTTAGTGTTCAGCCACGTGTCCAATCTATTTTCTGACAGGCGAAACTGTCAAGCTGTCACATATTTGGCAGGTGACATAGACAGAGAGCTCTCTGGTGTGTTTTGACTGCCGGACGCCCAGGGTGTGACCCACGGCAGCTGTTGGTGTATGTTGAAGGGCGACGCGAGGTCTCCATTTTCATGTTCGGTTTTGAGTGTCGCAAACCAGTCAGGCGAC